AATCCTCCCGCCTTGGCCTGCCAGAGTGCTAGGATTACAGGCATGAGCCACCACACCAGACCATTTGTCTTTTAATAATAATGGACAGGAGTGGCCCCAGGTTTAAGACGTATAAATATTGAAAATAGAAATATATCTACCTTTGACAGAATGTAATTATTTGAAGAAACTTATGAGTTGTTCCATCCCCTGTTTTTTGTTGTTAAAGGAGAACTCTTTTCAGAGCTCGAAGACGACGAGAAGATGACAGGATCCCAGTAAGTTGTTTTATTTTTTAACTTTTAATTAACATCATTTAGATTTTTTTTTTTTTTTTCTGTGATTTACTGTGGTGTTGGCTTGTGGTGTGTCCTTCCTTTCTGGGTTTTCATTTTATTGATTCCAGTTTTCAGGAAAGGTAAATAGAGCCTGAATTTGACCCCAAAATATTCACTACCACCACTCACACACCTGACCTCAAGCACATACACAGTTAGGAGTTTGACTTGTGTTACTTACCTAAAAATTTTATATTTGAATATCTATTATATTCACATGGTTCAGAAATAAAAATATGAAAAGTTTATTGCATTATTTATGGATATTTAAGTAGTTTCAATCTTTTATAGTGTTATTACAGATAGTACAATGATAACCTCATTTATAACTGTCATTTCCCGTGTGTGCAATTATATCTGAAGAAAAATCCTTAGAAGGGGAATTTCTGGATCACAATTCAATTACTGCCAAACAGCCTTTTTTATGAATTGTGCCAACTTTCATTCCCACAAACAGTAAACAAAAGTTCCTATTTATCCATGGCCTTTCAAAATGTATGATTTTCTTGTTTTTTCTTTCATTTGGCCAGTCTCAGAGGACATGTATGATTCACTCTTAAAGCTCTGTTGGATGATGTTAGAAACTTAAACTATTTATTAATTGCTATTTGGGGCCAATGTTCTACCTAAATTCTTATATGTACTGATCTTATAAGACATTGTATAGATAGAAAATATTCATATTTTTACACATCTTGTTATTTGAACCTCAACTTTCCTAGCTTCAAATTATTCATATTTTTATTTTTTGTGATTCATAGTGAATGTTTGCAATCTCTTAACTGGGGGCAAAAAGAGTTGAGAAATAAAAATGGTGTGGGAAAGCATGGAGATCTTCCAAAACTCTCCCTAAAATTTACAGATATATTACAAATGTGTAACATAATGTTTATTTTACTTGTATGAAGCTTTGTAGTCAAAGGAAACTTCATTTTCAAAGAAGAAAATGTATTGCATTATAACACAAAAAATTGTCTTTTCTATGTTATGGGTAGCTATGAAACTTTAGGCAACAATTCTTTTCTTTCTTTATTTTTTTCCTTCAAGAGACAGGGTTTCACTTTGTTGCCCAGGCTGGAGTGTAGTGGCATGATCATAGTAGCTCACTGCAGCTTCAAACTCCTGAGCTAATGTAATCCTCCTGCCTCAACTTCCCAAGTAGCTGGGACTACAGGCTCATGCCACTGTGCCCAGCTAAGTTTTTAAATTTTTGTACAGACCAGGGTCTCACTATGTTGCCCAGGCTGGTCTTGAACTCCTGCACTCAGGCAGGCAGTCTTCCCATCTGAGCCTCCCGAAGTGCTAAGACTGCAGACAAGCATGAGCCACCACTATGCCTGGCCTGCAGTAGTTTTTTTTAGCATGCCATTATAGCAGTCTACATGAATCCTCACGTGGTCCTCAACAGTTGGGAGAAGAGAGGTTAGATTTGGGGTCTGTTTAATATGTTTTAAATGTCATGAATGAGGACTAAAAGTTGGGGTAAAGGAAAAGGAGACAAGCATGCCTTCTAATAGGAAGGGCAGGGTAGAGGAGCCCTTCTGCAGGAGGGAGATCTTAGAGATCAAATTTAGGATTTGCAAACCTAAACATAGTAATTGAACTGATGAGAATTAATAAGATGAGATCATGCAGAGTACTCTCTGAAGAGCGATAAAAGTGGTCCAAATATGGAATTTTATGGAACATAAGTAATAGCTGAAAAATGAGATTGTTCGGTATGTTGTTTGAAGTGTCCAAGCAAAACTGAGTAGATGTGGCTAATAGGCAAAGGGATATCTGAGTTTCAGGTAAAGGCGTAGGTTGAAAATATTTAAAGTGTACAATGCAATGATTTTTTGTAAATGTACAAAAACCCATCAAAATTTAAGAAGTAGGTAGGGAGAGAAGAGCAAGCTCATGACTGTCAGATATGAGAAGAACCAAGAGAAAGAGGTATCACAGAAGCCAAGAGAAGAATGAGCTCCCAAAGGAAAGAATGGTTAACACACCATATGCTATAGTGAGGTCAGGAACAATAGTCTGTCTGGTTTTGCATTGTGGAAGGCATTGGTGGCTTGCCAAACACAATTTTAGTGGAGTGACGAATATAGAGATGAGGAAGTGGAGGAGATACAAGTTAGAGTCTTGTCAGAGGACATACAGGGTAGTAGATTGAAGGGAAAGATGAGATTTTCAAAAATGTTACATGGAGAAAGGATATTGTTCTCTCTTGAAACTGTATAGGAGCAAGATGATGGCACATTTAGGTAAAGTGGGTATTCTTTTTTGGTAGGGGGAGACAGGGTCTCATCTGTCTCCCAGGCTACAGTGCAGTGGCTTGATCATAGTTCACTGCAACCTCCAACTCTTGAGGCTCAAGTGACCCTCCTGCCTCAGCCTCCCGAGTAGCTAGGACTACAGGTGCACACCTCCATACCCGGTTAAATTTTCTATTTTTTGTGACAAGGTTTCACTCTTGCTCAGGCTGGAGTTTTTCTACTTTTTGTAGATACAGGGTCTTTCTCTTGCTCAGGTTGGTCTTGAAACTCCTGGGCTCAAGCAATCCTCACATCTCAGCCTCCCAAAGTGCTGGGATTACAGGCAAGAGTCACCAGGCCTGGCCTTGTGTGGTTTTTTGTTACGGAGGCGGGTATAGCAAATTTAAAAATCAATGAATAGTGGATATTGATTAGAAGGTTTAAGGAGTGTGGCAAAGTTGACCAAAAAAGAAATGGGAGAGAACTGATTAAAGGCAAATAGGATTAATAAAGACTAATGAGAGCTCAACTGAGTAGAGAAACCAAGTATTTATAGAGAGACAGTTCTGTGCATTAGGCTAGAGGTTTTATTTGTTTCTTTTCTTGCAGCTTTCAACACTTGTGGCATAAGATTAGAGAATTAAATAGGCGTGTGACTTGTTTTATTATTTGTATCTTTTAGAGACCCCATCCTTCAACAGCTGAAGCAAAGGCTCCAACACCAAAGTTTGACTTACTAGCCTCAAATTTTCCTCCTTTACCTGGAAGTTCATCAAGAATGCCAGGTGAACTTGTTTTGGAAAATAGGATGTCTGATGTTGTTAAAGGTGTCTACAAAGAAAAGGTAAACATCGAATCATCTTACCTTCTAGGACTATATTTAGGCTTTGTTTTTAGGGTTATTGTTTAAAATTTTATTTGCACATAGTGCATATTTCTATCATGATTTTTATTAATGGAGTTTTCAGCATACTTAGAATATTTTTAAAAGATTTATGATAAAACTACACAAGGTCAATAAAGTATTTCTTGACTTTTGCACGTCTTTGTATCAATCAATTTAACTTGGTAGAACTGATTAATGCAAGCTAAATCGAAGCTGTCATTACCACGTTAAGTGCGTGTAATTAACCGGTGATATAAATGAATTCTGAGCTCACTTGGTAAACTCAGTCTTTCGAATAATGGAGAGTAGATAGCAAAAGGTTGGGATACCCCATCCTACAATATTTTTGATTGCAGACCTCTTCATATTTGAAATTCTTGTGTCTCACAAATTTTTTTCATTTTCTACCTTCTAATTCATTTTTGTGTTTTCTTTTTCACTATAACAGTACATATACATAGTGTATCTGGGCTCATAATGACAGGTCAGGCATAGTGGCTTAAGCCTGTAATCCCAGCACTTCCAGGGACCAAGGTGGGAGTATCACTTAAAGGCCAGGAGTTTTGAGACCAGCCT